TAGGCAATAAGCCACCCCGTACATAATCAAAAGTCTCGTATGATGCCACAAGGTGCTGATAGGCTACCGATTAAATCGCGGTACAAAAAGGAAGACGAACTCTGGAAGGAACTGCCTAGCTCACGCACTAATACGTGCTCTCTTTAAAAAATAGGAAGTAAGGCATACAAAAAATAGCATATAGGGAACTATGCTCAATGACTCACTCATGGCGGTGTGCCACCCGATCCACACATAACACTCACCTAAGGAGGTGTACATCGAGCTAAATTGCTCATTAATATAATATACCAAATTTTGGTCACAAGCACGCTAAGTGCATAATACCGTCCCTGAGGGAACATATAGCGCTATAAGCTACCAAAACCCAACCTCAACTGAGGAGCGATATACAATCTGAACATCGAGAGCCATTTTGCTCATAAACATCATTTCTACGTGGATCCTCAGCACATAAGCATTTTCTCAAACCGTCTCACAACTTACACGGCGCAGTGTATCCCTGCATAAAATATCTGACAACGAAATAACACCCTGACTCCTCCATAAGGAGCGCATCACTGAAATGAACCCGTTTGGCCTGACATAGAGCCCATATTCACATTTGAATCCATCCATCGACCTCAAGCCGATTCTGATCACACTGAACTAGGTTAATTACCTTTCAAAGGTCCCTAACAACTCATCTTCCGCTCGTAACACATAGGAACATCCATCAAAGTCGGAGAAATCATTCGTAGTCCACAACTCAATAGATTGAGTGCCCTCCGGGCATATTTTCTCAATTCAACGATATTATCACAACCTTCATACTTGGTTCAAGTCTTCAATCAATCAAGTGACTAACTGTCATACTTACAAAGTCTTCCTGTGGGACCTCTACCACAACCTACCAACGAATGATCGGGTCGTACCCCCAGACCACCGACCGCACTAACACTGAAAAACGATCAAAAATCCTTAAACAGGGTGCAAGCCTTTTCACAAAACACCGTTCTTAGGTGACGCTGAAGACAATGTCGATTTACCTTAAACGTCGAGGCTTCTGCCATGCTCATCTGGGCTCGTGACATCCTTGTCCATACCGAGTTGTTACCTCTATCTTCACTTCAAATTCCATACCACTCATTGCACCCAACATGTCAACATACGGTAGGGCACGCTCTTCACCACAACTTCGGGACCATTATTAGATTACTACTTCATTATATAAAACTCTCCACTTAACTAACTTCAGGGGACCATAGCAACACACAGGTGAATTCTCATAACGGTAAAATATGCAAATCTCTAAGTAGTGATCCAACCCACCATGACCCTTTCAGGATCCGCCTACATGTAACAGGCCCATAACATTGGAATACTCCTGAATAACATCATTTACGAGCGGTTCTCATGAGACGACGGGTCGGGTCGTCACACATTTCTAAGCAGAGTATAAAGATGTAGGGAGACATAGGGTCTCCTTGTCTGATGCCTCTACTAGGGCAAAAAAACTCAATTTTACTTCCATTGATAGGATAGACATAGTGGAGGGAGTAATACAAGACATAATAAGTTAAATAAGATTCGGAGGGAATTGGAAAAAAGTGAGATTGCAATGTGTGAAAGACCATTCCAATCGATCAAAAGTTTTTTCAAGGTCAACTTTAAGAATCATGTTAGCTTTTGAACCTTTCATCTTTTGGTAGTGGTTCACAACTTCTTGAACAATGATTGCACAGTCGGCCACTCTTCTATTCTTCAGGAAACTAGCTTGATGGGGACCAATAAGCTTGTCTAAAAGGGGTTTAATACGGTTTGCGATAACTTTTGTGACAAGTTTATAGATAGTATTGCAAAGGCCAATGGGTCTAAAGTTCTTTATATTATTGGCGTTTTCGAATTTTGGGATGAGACACAAATAAGTACGGTTTAGTTCCGGAAGGATGGTACTAGTGGTGAAAATATTATGGCAGCGTGATAGGACAGAGGGACCCACAATTTTTCAGTATTTCTTATAGAAAAAAGGGTGTAAACCATCTGGTCCGGGTGCGTTGAAGAGCTTATAAGATTTTATGGTCACGGAGGTCTCTTCCTAAATGTGTTTTGTCTGAATCTGTGAGAATGGGAAAAGGATAATGATTGTAGTGATTAGCTGCGTCAAGATGAACAGTGGAATACAAGGGCTTTGAAGTAGTTAAAAATGGACTTCTATATCAGCTTGGTCATAAATCAAGTTACCAGTATCATCTATAAAAGAGATAATACGATTTCTTCTTCTTCGATTAATGGTTGAGATGTGGAAATATTTAGTATTTGCATCTCCATTAGTAATCTAATTTATACGAGATTTCAATTTCTTAGAACTCTTCTTCCAACCTAAGGATATCGTTGAAGTCTTTTATAAGAGAGATTTCAAGATTTTGAAGGAATGAGCTAGTGGCATACTTGGCAGAATTTTGTATACCAGTAAGTCTAGCTAAAATAGTCTTCTTTTTTGTAAAAATATTTTCAAAAACATGCATGTTCCACCCCGTAATGTTGTACTGAAAAAGTGAGGTAGCTTGTAGAAGGTCAAGATTACTATTCCAGGAGTCATTAATAATATTAACAAGGTCAACCTCTTGTGAATTTCAACTCCACCTCTTAGACGACCTAATTTTCATGCAGCAATGTGCACTCCAAAATTTAGCTACTACTAGAGGCTTTTTTTTTCTCTCTCCTTGCTAATCAAACAACAGTGCTTAGAGGCAGAGGCAGAATATAAACTTTATGGTACAGATTCGCAATCCTATCTCATTACATTTAATTTAATAGGTTCAAAATTTATAATTTATATATATTTAATAATTTTTTAGACAAAAACATAAGATATGATTGAAAGCAATGAATTCATAACCTCTACACTAAATATGCTCATGGTGGTGCCCTTCTCACATAAAATACATCAAACCACATGAAAGACTAGACAAGTAAAAGAGTCGCATTTAACATGCATGCGACTCTTCCGACCTCCGACCTCCGACACAATTCGTCAACTAAATAATTACAGTGCAAATTGAAACTTGTGATTCTCATTTCTCTCTGTTCAACATAAATAGAACTATATACATATTTAAAAGTTTTTAATTTTAAACTACTCGTTTTAATCTTAATGGCATAATATTATTACCACATAAACGTCATACAATGTTTAAAATGACTAACTCTAAAAGTACAATTTTTTTTTATATGTGACCATGTGTCAAATATGATTAACATATTAGATGCTGAACTTTGGTTTTATCTTCTTGATATTTTCTGAGTTTGTATCTCTTACCTTCTTCATATAGTCGTTGTAGATTCTCTAATTAGACAAATGAAATATTCTAGAGACAGCTCAAAGAAACAAATAATGTATGACTTGTTAAACTTTAAGATTAGGAAAACTTCTGGTGTGAAGGAAATAAGAGAGATAGTTTCTCTCGCTCTCTCTACTTTCTCTCTCTAGAACACAGTAGTGAAGTTATCGTGTTTCAGCCATCGGAAATGGCCAGAGGAAGGCCGGCGAGGAAGCAAAACAACAAAACAAATGTGGCTATTGAGGCAATTGCCAAAAGGATAGGTATAACAACTGCATGCAAGGAAGGAGAAGGAACGGAAGAGGAATCAGACTGGCCAAACTTGCCAAATCGGAGTGGACCTAACACGCCAATCTCCGGTGCAATTGTAAGTGGAACTATGCAGCTGAACAACAATCAGATCAGAAGAACTCCTCAAACCATGGTGTCGGTACATGCATGTGGAGATCTACTTCAGAAGGAGCAAATTGAGCAGGGGAGCGAAAAGGTGACGGAGGTGCAGGAAAAAGCGGATAAAACTCAAACAAAAATACCTGAGAACAGGACATGGGCTAATCTAGTTGGAAACAATCGATTTGGATTGCGAGGTATGAATCTCAGTTTTGTGGCTCCAATTGTGAAAAATGGGAAAATTATTGTTGAATTAGCAAAAAATGAAGTGGAGAAAGAAACAGAAAAATGGCGGAATTCTATGATATTATATGTAGTAGGCAACACACCTACTATAGGAGCTCTGGAGAGATTTGTGGCTAGTCAATGGAACTTCGTAGCTAAACCGATGATCTACTTTCATAACGAAGGATACTTTGTAATAAAATTCACTAATAAGGAGGATAGAGATGCAATTATGTTTTCAGGACCTCACACGATTGGTAACAAGCCTATAATTACTAAAGTCTGGACGCCTGATTTCAATTTCAAGGATGAGATATTGAAGACCATTCCCCTGTGGGTAACATTGCCAAATTTGCCATTGAATTGTTGGAGTGCAGACTCACTGAGCAGGATAGGGAGTGGGATAGGGGTGCCTCTTTATGCTGATGAATGTACAACAAGAATGGAGAGAATATTATATGCCAAAATATTAATTGAAATGGATATAACAGTGCCACTTCCTGATGCTATAATGGTGCAGGACCTAAATGGAAGGAAATTTAGGCAAAGAGTGGAGTACATATGGAAACTAGACTATTGTGGAAAGTGTTTGATGATTGGCCACAGTTGTAATGAACAAAGGGAACAGGAAAATGCAAAACCAACAAGGAACAATGTGCAGAAGAAGATATGGCAAATAAAAGGGACAGGAGGACAAATACAGGAGAAAGGGAAAGCAGAAGAGAAAACAAACAACACTGAAAACCAAATGATAGCAGTGGACAATGGAGGATGGAAGGAAGCAAAAGGAAAATCTGCGGCAAAACCAACACATGTAACCGCTGAAGGAAGGATGAGCATAACAAATGACTTTAATGTACTTAATCAAAATGAACAGGAAAAGCAGACTGAACAAGGCAGAACAGTGGAGCAAGGCCAGTGCAGCAGGAGTGAAGGAATAGGGGTAATGCAAAATTTACACAACCAACAATGAAATTAGTAGCTTGGAATATCAGGGGAATTAATAAGTGCTTCAAGCAAAAGGAGTTAAGTAGATTTATCAATAAAAATAAAGTTAGCCTTATGGCTATATATGAACACAGGACAAATGAAGAAAAAGGCAAACAGATCATGAAAAAGATAACAGCAAATTGGAGATATAGTGCAAACTATGATAGCAAAGGGAAGGGGAGAATATGGGTGATGTGGGATCCAAACAATATCCAATTCATTGAAATGTGGAAAAGCAATCAACTGATTCATGGGAAGGTGAACATTGGTAATGGTAGGATTCAATTCTACTTTACAGCTGTGTATGGTCTTCATACAGTTGAAGATAGGAAAGGACTATGGCAGGAATTGGAAGGGATCAAAAACTGAAATTGATGAAGCATGGATAGCAATGGGGGATTACAATGCAGTGAAGGGAGTGGAGGACAGGAAGAGTGAAAATCCAGTACAGGAAGTAGAAATAAGGGATTTTAGGGACTTCATGTTAAACAATGGCATGAATGAACTAAAATATATAGGCAGGAACTTCACATGGACAAATAACCATGTGTGGAGTAAAATAGATAGAGCCATAGTTAATGCTGAATGGATGACAACAATGAACCAAATGGAAGTGGTGGTGATGGAACCATTCATATCTGATCACACTCCTCTTTGTTTACAATTTGAGGAAATAAATGCAGAAGGTCCAAAACCATACAGATTTTACAACTATGTTGCTGAGCATCCAGACTTTCTACAAGTGGTTGACAAAGCATGGAGTACAGTTACTAGAGGGGAAGGAATGGAAAGAATATGGCAGAAACTTAAAGCAGTGAACATAGAGCTGAAGAAGATGCATACAGAGGAATTCAAAAAAGTCAGAGAAACAGTCCGAACAATTAGGAAACAACTGCAGGAAACACAAGAGAAGATGCAAGACCCAAATCATCCAACTGACCTGTTTGATACTGAGAAAGAATTAAGAAGAAAGCTAGAGAAATGGGTACTGATTGAGGAGAGCATTTTGAGACAAAAGTCAAGAACAAAATGGTTGAAACTTGGGGATTCTAACAGTGCTTATTTCTATGCTTGTATGAAGAGTAGGACTTCTACAAACCACATTAAAATCCTAATGACTCAAGATGGGAAGCTGCTGCAGAATGACAAAGAGGTGGAGGAGGAAGTGGTGGGATTCTACAAAAAATTGCTTGGAAATGCTGATGAACAAATCTAATTGATCAACCCAACAGTCATGAAGAATGGAAAAATACTGACATGAAGCCAACAAATGAAGCTAATAGAGCCAATATCTACAGAAGAGATCTATAAAGCAATAAAGAACATAGATGACAACAAAGCCCCAGGATGTGATGGATTCAATGCATGTTTTTTCAAGAAAGCATGGTCAATAGTGGGGGAAGAAATAATCCAAGCAACAAAGCAGTTTCTTGATACATGAGAGATATACAAACCAATAAACTGCACAGCTGTGACTTTGATCCCAAAAGTGAAGACTCCAACTTCAATCAAAGAATATAGGCCCATCTCCTGCTGTACTGTACTATACAAGGTGATATCCAAGATAATAACTACAAGACTGCAGATTGTTATGGACAGCCTCATTGATACAAATCAGACTGCATTTGTACCAGGAAAAGTTATATTTGATAATATCATTCTCAGTCATGAATTGATATGGAAGAAAGGGCATTACTCCAAGATGTATGATCAAACTTGATATGCAAAAGGCCTATGACTTTCTAGAGTGGGGCTTCTTAAAACAGGTCTTGATAGCATTGAATTTCCCTGAAAGATTTACTCAATGGATCATGAAGTGCCTAAGTACTGTTTCATACTCTATACAAATAAATGGCAGGCCTACTTGTCCATTCCCAGCAAGAAAAGGACTAAGACAAGGGGATCCCCTATCCCCATTCTTATTTGTTTTAGCCATGGATTACCTAAGCAGACTACTTAGATCCTTGAAGAACCAGCCAGACTTTAACTATCACCCAAGATGTGAGAAGTTACAAATTATTAAGCTAGAATTTGCTGATGATTTGTTGCTATTCTGCAGAGGAGATGAAGTATCCATTCAGATGCTATACAACTGCTTCCAGGAGTTTTCAAAGATGTCAGGACTGAAGGCAAACACAAGCAAGAGCTCTATATACTTTGGAGGTGTGAACACAGCTGTACAACAAAACATCATGGAGAAGTTGGGGTTTCCAAAAGGAGAATTGCCTATAAAATATATGGGAGTCCCATTAAGCACAAAAAGAATGTCAATCATACAATTTCAACCACTGTTAGACAAGATGCTTGGTAGGATTACATCATGGACTACAAAATTTCTCTCATATGCTGCCAGGATTCAGTTGATAAAGAGTGTACTGCTATCAATTCAAATATACTGGTCTCAATTATTTATTTTTCCAAAGAAGGTGGTTCATGCTATAGAAGCTATATGCATGAAGTTCTTGTGGACTGGGGGGATTGATTTAACAAAAAAAGCTCTAGTGGCATGGGAAAAATTGTGTCAACCAAAGGAAAATGGAGGCTAGAACTTGCTGGATATTGAACTATGGAACAAAGCAGCCATATGCAAACTACTATGGAACCTTGCTCAAAAGAAGGACAAACTTTGGGTGCAGTGGATTCATACTTACTATGGGAAAGGCAAAGCTGTAAACTGTATAGAAGCTAATCAAGCTTCATGGCTAGTAAAGAAGATACTGAATGCTAAGCACTACATGATAGAAGCAGGGATCAATTTGGAAGAAATACTTGAGAAGAAGTGCCTAACAATCAACAGCATATACAAGATGTTAAGGAAGGATCACCAGAAGGTTCAGTGGAGAAAGCTGGTATGCAATAATGGAGGAATGCCAAAGTGGAACTTTATACTGTACATGGCTTTACTGGGCAAACTGAGTACCAGGGACAGGCTAGCAAGATGGGGAGTAATAAATGAAACACTATGTCCTATGTGCAAAGTGGAAGAGGAAAGCATGGAGCACCTGTTCTTCAAATGTTCATTTACAGCAGGAATATGGAGCAAAATACTACGGTGGATAGGAATCAACAGGCAACCGATGGAATGGAGTCAAGAAGTAGACTGGGCATGCAGCAATGCTAAGAGCAGATCAGCAAACTCTTAAATCTATAGAATAGCACTAGCAAGCTGTGTATATCAGGTGTGGCAGGAGAGGAACTACAAAATTTTACCTAAGACTAACAAAAGACCAGAGGACGTAACTGACCAAGACAAGCTATACAAATGATAAGTGGAAGGGGATACACGATACCAAGACTACAAAGAAGACTTGAGGACCTGAACTTTTATCCATAAGGGATGATGAATACTGAAAATGTAAATAGAATAGTGAATAGATAATCAGTAAGAAGAATAGGAGTTACATTGATGAATATTAAGTCTGGGAGAATGTCCAGACTTAGTTTGCTTTGTTTTGAGCTATAATTTCTTGCTTTGGTAATAAAATATGATAATTACCAAAAAAAAAAAAAAAACTTTAAGATTAGGGAATCAGAGACCACAATTTACCACCAAAAATAAGTATTTAATTAAGATATTATTTAATACTAACAAATTAAAAAATTAGTACTAATTCCTAATACACTTCTAATCCATACAAAACGCCGGCATATTTTCCCGGTCCGTCTTTTACAAAGTACACGTCCCTAATTTTTTGGAATGCATGCCACGTCAGCAGGCTATCTGAACCGGCTTGGTGGCACTTCCCGACCGCCCGGTTCACCTCTAGTGCCTTCGCAACCCGGTCTAACCCACCGTAAAGTTCGCAGAACCTCATCAAGTACTTTACATCATAAACATTATTTCCAAAAAACACCCTGAGAATTCCCAAAAAGTCCTCTAACTTCCCGGGAAGCTCCCGGCGCGTGAGGATTTTCACCAGGTAAGCGAAATCGTACGCGCTGTGAAACGTGACCCAATTCACTGAGTCATTACAAACCAACCCAGAAGACATCATCAACTCAGCAAAACGCGCCGAGTCAACCCCGAATTCCTTGTTCTTCTCGAAGTCAATCCCGTAGCGACGCAAAAGCTCAATAGAATCCGGCGCGTGACGATCACGCGCCACGTCGAAATCGGAAAAATTGAACTGCCATATGTACCGGTGCACCCCGCCGGAACCCAAATCCGGCAAATTCCCGTCGGCGTCCGACAACGTGAGTCCTAGCTGAATAAGGTTCAAAATGTCAACGTTTGACTTCAACAACTTATAATGTTGCCCATGTCGCCGGCGATTTTGCTGGAAAGAACCAACCTCCGGCTTGAAAATAACGCCCGGGAATTCAGTATCCATTGAGATGTAAGGGTACTGATCAATAGCTGTTCGTATAAGCTCAAATTCAGAATCAATATTATCGGACCAAACTTCCCGGATCTTAATCGGGTTCGGATCCGAAGCAGCTTTTTCAACAGCCATGAGTCACAATTTTCCAAGATTCTCAGATGGGTGGTCTAAAATCGAAAATAAATAATGGGTTTGCAGTGAAATTGAAATCTGAAAGCAAAAAGCTTTGATTTGCTGATGTGGGTGTGGCGAAAGAACTGGTTTTTATACAAAGGAAAAAGAATCTACGAGTGTTGCTTGGAAAGAGAGGGATAAGGGGATTTAAATAAACAAAGGAATGTTAGAATTAAAAAAGGAGAAAAAGATTACCAAGTGGGACAAGGGAGGGATTAGTTCATTGTTTCCAAAAAACTGCGGTTCAGACAAGGAAAAGGAGGAAAAAAAAAAAGGAAAGGTTCTGTTTTTTGGGTCTAAGTTCAACGCGTCTGGACAGTTTATAAATCAAGTTGGTACAATAATGCATTTATTGGTAGAATAGAATGCTAATTCACAGTCCAAAAGGGAATTGGTCTAAAAAAGGCGGCTTTATTTGTGAGTTACGCTATAAATCTTTATATTTTATGTTGCAATTTGTTGCGTGTGATTTTTGTGTTGTACAGACTGGGAGTGAGCTGAATCTGTTGCATGCCGGTCAAGTGGAAAATTGACATCATCGTGTGTAGAAGTTGGGTACTTTTTCTTCAATTTTAGGTTGTATAAGGGTGATATGTTCTTACGGTATTTTCACAGCACCGATCAATGTAAATTGACACTATTTTACATTACATTAACAGCGACATCAACACATAAGTTAGATATGTACTTTGATGAGCAGGGGTGGAGCAAAAATTTTACTAAAAGAAGTCAAGGGGTGTTAATGTGCAACATATATACATACAAAAAAAAGAAAAATGGCCTAGCTAGACAATGTAGTTTTTTTTTTTTTTTGATGAGCAAAGAAAAAGTAGTTTTTCAACGAAAGGGTGTCAATCCTTCAATACATGTGGATCCGCCACCGTTGATGAGATTCAAATCTAACACCTACGGAGTCCAATACCTTTACATTTATCGTTGACCACTTAATTAGGCATGACATGTGTTAAGTGATTTAACGAAGTAAGGAAAAAAAAAAATATATACATATATATATATATATATATATATATATATATAAATTTAGATTAAATTAAAAAAAAAAGTCTATGCATATATTAGTTGGTTAAACATTATGTGGATAAATTTATAGGCACAATAATCGACAATCCCTTAAAGTTGCCCACACTTTTCACTTAGATACTTCATCTTAAGCCTGTTTCATTTAAGAAGTCGAACATAAAACATGCGTGTAATTCACACGCCGGAATGACAAATAAGATGGGGACATGTGGATTTTAAAAAGAGTAAAAGAAAAATAAGAAGCCCACCCCATCCTTTCGCCATCTTCCCGGATGCCCCTACCCCCCCCCCCCCTCCCCCAAAGAGAAGAACAAAGGTACCACGCATGTCGTCTTATCCACTATTACCCCTACCATCATTCTTCAATAACATTAAGAACAAGCAGTAGACATAATAATCAGCTAACAATTTCTCTTGTCATGGATGATTAACCTCATCAGATGTCGCAGTAAATTGATTTACTAAATTCAATACCTAAGAACAAATGGGTAAACTTCATCATCCTGTTTTTTTCAATTTAGAGCAATCAATGAAAACTCAGATCTGGGAGAGGGAGAAATTTATGTCAATTTTTTTTTTGTTGAAATACCTTTCTTTTAATAATTGTTTGAAATCTTTGACAAAAAATGATTCATTGTGATCACGACCTCCTCCACCAACTTGCCGTCGGCCAGGTAGGCGTTATGTTCTCTCTCTTCTCTTCATCTTTTTCATCTTGTCTTCTCCCCACGATTTTTTCCTCATCTCCTCCATAGCTTTATCTGAGTGCGAATGATGGGAAAACTTTATCTCTTGCGACTGAATTATAATGAAGCTGTTCTTATCTTTTAAAGCGTAACTCCCACTGAAAATTTGGGAGGGCGTTTCATTGCTTTGGCTACCGACATTACAATAACTACATTATGCACAACGGCAATTCGACATAGCTGGTGAAAACTAAAACATTAAGGGATGATGGTGGACTGGTGCAGGGAGAGAGAGGCGAAGGTGGTGACCTAGACATGGTGTGCGAAAGAATATGAGGAAAAAGAAAGAGAAAAATTTTAAAAAGAAAAATTGGATCTTCCACGCTCTCAAAAATGGTGTAAAACACGCATATGCCACAACACCAGATTCTGTCCAAATGATACATTTGAGATATGGTTGACGTTCAAATGGAACAGATTTAAGATAGAGTATCTAAGTGAAAAGTGTGAACAACTTTAAAGGATTGTCGATGTATTCTGTCGAATTTATATTGGTTAGACATTGTAAAAGAGGGGGGTTTTCGCATAAAATAAATTGAGAATGTGTTAGGAACTAAATTAATTACGTAATGTCATATTATTGGTAGTACCTTTTTCTTACACGCAAACTAGGAATCGGTTTTCATATTGTTTCCCGATATAGTTCTTCTATCTCCAAAAAGAGTCATAGTCAAATTATAGCATGTCTAAATTTGGAAGACTCATACCAGTGTCGGACATCTCAATGAGGAAAGAGCATCAGAAATTAGCAAAATAAAAATTACGTCGTACTAACATTTACCATGTAGCTTTATAAGACATGGCCTAATAAGATTGCCGAGGCTAGTTAGTTTACATATTTTGATTATTTTCCATTTCGAGCTTGTTCACGCTCAGTCCAAAGTCACAAGTTGTATACGGTCAAAATCAGATGTGCCCGATTTCGCAGGCTGGATGGGTTGCTTCGTGAATAAGTTCAAAATGGACCGGGCTCGAGTCTGACGACTAAGTGCAAGACTCGAAGATCGAAGTGCTCGATGAATACCGAGGCCAAGTATGATCAACCTCGAGATAATACCGTTATGGTTTCATAACAGAAAAAGCGAGATTCCCGCATGCAATGGCCCTAAGATCATGGCGTAAATTCCGGAATGGATTTGCACTAGGCGGTTACACAGCTGTATAATAAGATTCCCTACTATAATTAGAAGTTTACCTTATTTAGGATTCCCCTACTATATAAAGGGGATCCCAATCATTTGTAACGCATCAATCATTGACAAACGAATATACATATATCACTTTCTTGCTTACTGTTCATCTGAATTGCATTGTTATTATTTAATTGTTCTTATTCATCTACCTCGAGGTTGCCATAGATCGAGGTCGAGACTCGCTTACATACTGGTTCGACTTACCTTACTCTTTAATTTATACACTTGATTTCTTAATTACCAGTTAGTATTGGATTAAATCACATATCTTTAAAACCACAATACAAGTTTAATTGTTACTCGGATCTTAGGGTAAACAGTTTGGCGCCCACCGTGGGGCTAAGGATAATAGTGATTGTTTCAGTACTGATTCTGATAACGCACGTTATTTTCACACTTCTTCTTGTCAAGAATTTTTCTTCTCAGGTTAAAACATGTCAAACTCATAAAATGCACCCGTACATGGCGATGATGGTCTTGGATTTCACGGGGAAAACAATAATGTAGTTGCTCCAGGAGCCGGTGTACCACCGATTAACCCTAGGGAAGTGCCGATTATAGAACCAGTCGATGTTAGTACGCACATTGCTTTGAATGCAGACTTAGGCGCAGACCCCGGAGGAAGTGTACGCAGGGAAGCCCAATTTGGTGGCCAAGGAACACAGGG